CATCACAATACCTTACACATATTTTTTATAAACCCAAATAAATTCACAATCATTGCAAAGAAATCTCAATTTTTTCTAAATGTTAATTTTATTCAATCTTTATTTTCTTTAAAATCTCTGATTCACTACCACAAAATAAGTTTCTCCGTCCCAAATATATTATTCTAATTCGATAACCCCATTCCATTTGTTAGAGCCATTAACCAACAATAATTTACTCAAATAATCTCAAATCTCGAAAACCCAACGTTTAAAATTTCCTCCAAACTCATTAATATTCATATTTTATCATCAATATCAAAACCAATCCATTTAATAATCAAGACAGCCCTCATTAGCCCAAAATAAGTTATTATATTCAAAACACATCACTATCAAAATCATAAATCACCAAGTTCCAACAAAACCCTCACTTTAATTTTTTAGATCAACTAATTGGGCAAAAATTTAAATTATACAAATTATTGTTTTTATATCATTAACTCTATTAAAATCTAAATTTAAGTAGTCGGTATTTTTAAAAAAATGTGAAAGTAGGCCAAGACCCACGTGCTCAGCACCATGCATTTTTTATTTTTTTAATCTACTTCTTGTTTTTTGAACAACAATACTTAAAAATTACTATATACATATATTAGTTTTTTTTAGACTCAGGGATCTAAAAGACTAAATTGAGTTTATGGATTTTGTTCAAACACAGTTCATTTAATAATTATATAATTATAATTTATAATTTCTTAAATGGAAACAATTTACACGTTTTTATTTAATTTCACTTAATATATAACCCCCTTGGAGTAAATTTTTTTATTCAAATAATTACAATAGCTATGAAATAAATCCATTAAATTTAAATCAATGCTAATAAATATTTACTAAAAAAATAATGATTTGGTACTTTAAGAATATAATTATAATTAGTGTATCTTCACTACTAAAAAAATTAAATTTAATCACAGATAATTTTGTAAAAGTTTAAACCCATCACTAATTATAATTATTCGTGATAAATCAGTGACAAATTTTGAAATTCATCATTTTTATTTCAATATTCACAATTTTAGCGAAGAATATCATCCTATCACTAAGTAGTCACGAATAAAAAAAATCTTATATAAAATAAAATCAATAATCATATAGAAATGTAATAATAGACAAATGTGTGTGTCTACACAAATTTTTAGTATAATTTTTTTAATATTTTTGAAAAATATAATTCTAATAATAAAAATTGTATCATACTTAAAAAGAAATAAAACACCTAATTTTATTATACAATTTAATTATTAATTTATATATATATTATAAATAAAAAGTACTCTTTCATTTAAAAATATAAGATATTTTTAGCTGAATTTTACTGCTCAATAAAGTAGTTGGCTACTTTTAAACTAATCCTATCTTTTTATATTTATTTCTATTAAATACTCTATAATAAATATAAAGTCATTATCAATAGGGATACTTTAAAAAAAATAATAATTATACCTTAAAATATTAAAAATATTTTATATTTTTTAATATTTAACTTTTTAAAAAATATTTTATATTTTTAAATGAAAAAAATATAATATTTAATTCGGCGACAGCATAATAGTCATGGTTGTAGAATGACTGATAGTGTGTATAAATGCGCGCGCGTATTTTTATCAAAAGTTGAGCTTTAAACTAAAGGTTGCTTGTCGTGGTCAAGAAATTTTTTTTTTTTTTAAAAAAAAAACCCCTAAAGGTTGCTTGTAGCTGAATGGGCAAAAAGTAAATGTTATAAGTTTGAAGCGCTAAAAGTTGTTGGTTCAGATCAAAGGGGGCATCTTCTATGATCCATATCATAAAGCACGAGGTCATAGGTTTAAGTTGTGGGTGGCTAAGGAAGGCAAGAAGAATTTCAATAATTTTTTCCATCCTAAAAAAAAGACTAAAAGTTATCGATAGACAGTTAATTATGGGTAATTCCATTACAAAATTAATGACGGACACACAATTATACATGAATTATTGATGCTATATTTTTCATGAATTTAATGATGAAAATTTTTATTACTGAATCAAAAATTAGTGACACAATTTGCTGTTTAGTGATGAATTTGGCCGTCATTAACATCATTTTTTTCTATCAGTGCTTGATCAAGATTTTCACCGATTTTATATTCTATTTCGTTAGATCATAACCATACATGCCTTTATGCCTTAACAACCATACAATCATATTTTAATATCACCCTATATTTTATGTGTCAAAATTGAAATATTACAAATAGAGCTATTAATTAAGGTTGATCTCACTTTTAAACTTTGGCCACTATTTTATGATATAAAATAATAATTCAGATTTAAAACAGCCGATTCTTTTAAGGCTAAAAATAAAAAAATCTAGCCCTTTCAAACCTTTTTATTTTATTTAATTTCAATATAAAAAATAAAAGATTAAGTGTCTAACTAAAAGAAATAAAAATCATAAATTCATTAATCCCTTTCTCATTCATTTGTAAAGATTTAGTGAATAATTGATATTGTTATTTAGTATTAAACTTTGATGTTAAAGTTTTATATATTTATTGTGGTGTGAATTGTCTTAAATTTATTTTTTAAATTTAATCTTACATGTAATAATAGCTTTTTTTAATATTATAAATTTAGGTTTGTAAATTGAAAAAGGAAGAACATACGCTACTCATTTAGGCCTGCTAACCTTCAAAAGTCAACCCTTTAGGTTTGGATTAGCCATAATTGACCGTTCTCGTTATAAATGATACATTTAACATAATTAATTAATACTGCACAAACCCTTGCAAGGTATAATTATATCCACGGCCAACATTTAAAAAAAAAAACTAACTTATATATAGGACATTATTCCCTCTAAACCACAAGGTAAATTAATTTTTAAAAATTTTACTTAATTTAAAATATACGGTATTGAATATGTGTTATACATACATGTATTTTTTTCAATTATATCTTTACTTTATTGAATAATTAAAAAAAGTGTTTTGAACAAGCCCAATGTTACATTTAAATATTCATTACACTAAAAAACATAATTAAAAATATGTGAGAAATTTTAAAAAATTAATATTTTGTCATTATTTTTTCATAAATGTAAATTAGTTAACAATCACTTACATTGAGGTCGGAGAGGAGTATTTTATAACACCAAGTATAAATAGCATTAAATTCTTATTTTACACAAATTCCCTTATTAAATGTATTTAGAGATAAATTATATAAAAAGAGAGATTGACGGTGATTAAGATAAAATAATTTTTATAATTAGTGATTTACTTTGGTGAAAAGTGACAGTTTTTTTATTTTTTTTACTATTTTAGCTATACAACCACTTTTAATTTCTTTTCTTAGTCCTTGTAAAATAATAAAAAGTGTCATATATTCGATTTTAAATTGGAGGGAGTATGAAAAAATTAACTGTTCCACACTCATTTAAAAAATTTAGTTAATTTTTATAATCACGCCTGATGTTAGGAGTAGCTTTTTTTCCTGAATATCCCTATTATTACTTTTAATTCCGTGGTCGAGGGAAAGATATATTTGCCTCGCGAAAACACAGCAGCCAGCGGGGGATTTGAACGAGGGGCATACTTTATCAGAGACGTATATGCTTAACACATCTGGAAAAATACGTTGTCTTTGCTTTTAAAAAAAAAAAAAACAAAACCAAAAACATAACTTGTTGTCTACGATAGATGGATGAGTGGAGATTTTCGGTGGCTTCAAGTCGTGGTTGATCTTAGCCTTCCCTCGGTGGTTAGCATAGAGCTATCACTCTAGCGATTTGCCCTTTATAGTTTATAGTCAATGCAAAATTCTTGGTTTTTGACAAAACCAAAAAACCCAACCAACGCAAACACCCCCCCGGCAAAAATAAAGCAAAGAAAATGACTCGTTAATCCCTCTTGGGATAGAAATTGTGTTTCTTGAAAAAGCAATTTATTTAATAAAAAAAAACAGAGAAAATTATTAGAAAGTTCTTTCTTGAAATTAAAAATGTGTTGGAGGACCAAAGGATCAAAGTGCAAACTGATAAGTTTAGAGTGTAAACAGATAAACATAAAATTTCAAGCCTATCTGCTTGCACTCCAATCCTTTAATCTTCCAGCATAATTTTCACTTGAACGGGAGGTTTACAAGAAATGTTTACAAGGAAAAAAAAAAACTCAAAAAAGCTGTCCTAGGCCCCCTCCGGCGTTGATTTAGCATATAAGTACTTAAATTTAAATTTAAATATAATATAAATACTGCTCCACAACCGGATGCAGTACTTATTAGTAATTAATTAATCTCAGTTTAATGGAACGGCCACTGAGAAATTGAATAATAAAGCCTTTGGTTAGCAAAGAACCCAGGGGTGTTATCCAACACTTAACAGTAATACCAAATCTCCAATGAAGCTGTCTTCCCCTAAATGAGATTGTCTTCTCCACACTGTCGCCTGTCGGACAACAACACATAGAGAGAGCCAGTCGGATGCACCCTGACTGAGCGACGACCGACGAGCATTTTGACGCAGTCTGGTTTGGACTCAACGCACAGCCCATTTAGCCCACAATAAACCATTGGCTTATTCTCTAAAGAGTTTTCAAGTGTGCTAACTTTGGTCCGACTTCGCAGAAATCGAAGAGGCAAAAGAAGCAGAAGCAGTAGGTGCATGTGGTGTCTAATCGAGTTTCTCGGGTGGGCTACAGCAACTTTAATCCTTTATGGTGTCAACCACCGTCGTCGATAGCGCCACCACTTTAATCATATCCCCAGCCTAACCCCCCATTATCCCCCTAAATTCATGCCACTTCCCCGAGGTTGTTTCTTTCTTTACTCTCCCCAACCTGTCCCACCAAGCACTGGGCCCCTGATTTATCAACTTGCCAATTTTTTACAACCTGATACTCATCAATAATCATGAATATCACCACATAACCTCACTTTTTATTTTTATATTATCCCTCATGACCCCACCCCTCCTCTTTATAAGCTGACATGTGCCGTGCAATTAATCAAACCAGACCGCCGAGATCGCTCTGCTAGCTATACTTAGTAGTTAGTGGGCTCGGCTCTAGAAGCAGCCAGGAGTGAGAGGATGATGTGGGAGGGAAGAGGCGGTGCCGCTCGAACTCTGGCGCCCGGGATGCTGCTGCTGTGCTTGTTACTTCAGCTTCATGCCGCAAATGCAGCAACCTACACGGTGGGAGGGTCTGGAGGCTGGAGTTTCAACTCCGATACCTGGGCCAAAGGGAAGAGATTCCGAGCCGGCGATGTCCTCGGTGAGTACTTCTCTGTCACCTCCTGCTTATTTCCCCGCTACTGCTAAATGCCCGAGAAAAAGTTGAAAATTTAGTGACAGTTGATGAATGACGGCAGTCTTCAACTACGACGCGACGATGCACAATGTGGTGGCGTTGAACAGAAATGGTTACAAGAGCTGCAGTGCCCCGGCGGGTGCCAGAGTGTTGAGTTCAGGGAAGGACCAAATAAGGCTAGCGCACGGGCAGAACTACTTCATTTGCGGCAATCCTGGCCACTGCCAATCCGGCATGAGACTTGCTATTAATGCAGCGTGATGGAGCCCTTTCATCATCACCAATACTACCATCTTGATTTTCTGTTAGTGTTAGCTAGTGTGCATGTGAGTGCTGTAAACCTGTAACGATAAAATTCCGCGAGTAATGAGCTGGCTAGTTATGGAACGCGCACGAGTTTGCTTCAAACTCTCCATGTTTGTTTGTGCCTGTCACTGTCACTTTGAGTCAGTGATGAGTGTGATCTGTCGGGCAAGGCAGGGTTGATCCATATGTCGAAGTCCTCGACTGCATATCTGGGTTAGGATTCTGTGCGCGCGCGCGCGCGCAAATATGTGTGTGTGTGTGGGTGTGGGTAGTTCGCTGATCACCACCGCATTACAAATGTGTGTTTCGGTTCGCTTCATTCAACGCCAAACTTAACATCTAAACCTCAAAATTATTCGAGCGCCGATCACCAGGGAGCTTTTTCATTCTTGGGATTAGCTAGTACCAACTTCAACGATGCTGGAACGCTTTTTTCCTTAACTAAAAAGGAAAAAAGAGATTAAATTAGTAAATCCGATGAAGAGTAGTCAAGCACACCTCTTTTTCCGTCAAGCAAAAAACACCAGTACAGTTGAATTAGTTAAAAAAAATTAATGGAGGCGAAAAAAGTTAAAATAGACTTTTAATGGAGCAGCAAATGAATGAACAGAGGGGAGGGAGGGCAACCAAACAGGAGGGGACAACACAAAGTGATTGGCCCATTTGATGTCAAGCAGGCTAGGTAAGAGTTAAAACTTAAGGGTACAACACCATTCGTCCTGTTTTAATAAATAAAATATTTTTATTTTAAATTATTTTTTAGGAGGGATAAAAGTATGCTCCTTTTTTTTTTGATAATTTTTTAATTCTGTTATTTTCTATTTACGTGACATGTATTTTGGTATCAATTTATTTTTAAACTTTTTTGAAAAAATATTGGGCAATTTAAAATTTTATTAAAATAAAATTTAATAAATATTGCTAAAATATTTACTAACATTTATTAAGAAAATGATTTTCTAGGAAAATTAATATTAATTAAGTCTATTAAATTTTTTAGGTCATTGTCTGTAATTTTTTTAATCAACTAACGAACAAATTAACTGATATTTAGAATTGAAATGTTATTTATTTTTAAGGTTAATATGCAATTTGGACCCTGTAGGTTCAAGGGCAATTTAAACCCTAAACTTTAAAAATATATATTTTAAATTCTAAATAATTAAAGTCAGGATAATTTTGCTACTATCGTTTAACTTTCAACAAATGTTCCTCATTTATTTAAAAAAATTACATTTTAGGCTCTAATTTGACAAGAGTTTGTTGAAAGTTAACGGTAAGGGTGAAATTGTCCCAACTTTAATTGTTTATGGTTCATAATGCACCTTTTTAAAAATTTAGGGTTTAAATTGCTCCTAAATTTGTAGTTTAGGGTTCAAATTGTATATTAATCCTTTTGTATTTTAAAAAATGCTCTCTAATAAATAATAATTCAACAGTAATGAAAAAAGTGTATTTTATATATTATATCAATTTTTAAAAAGATTTTGAAGGAGCATGTAAGTTTTTTAGTTTGAATTAATCAATGAAGGTGAAAATTTATAAAACATAACCAAATGCTTTTATGATAAATAAGGAGATAGAAAAAAAAGTGTGAAGATGAATCTATTCTAATTTTTTCCGTAACAAAAAGTGATAATATTTTTTTCACCAATATTATTATGACATTCCATTATGTCAAAGAACAAACAAGAAAAAATATAAAAGTGTGCTTGTAACAAAAGATCATGTTACGCTCCTAACGCTGCCACTCATAGTTTATCAAAACCCAACCTAATAAGAACAAAAATAGTCAATTTGATACCGTCTCATTTATACCTACCATAATCTCCACCAAAAATTGTTTTGCTCATGATTAAAATTTACAACTTTATTTTATATAATTTTATCATTATCATTGTCATTATTATTTACCTTTTTTTATTCCTTTTTCTCATATCTTGAAAATTTTATAATATTACCATAGATTAATATGTAATTTAAACCCTAAATTATAGGTCTAGAAGTGATTTGAACTCTACATTTTTAAAAAGGTGCATTCAAAATCTTAAATAATTAAAGTTAGGATAATTTTGTTGCAGTTAACTTTCAACAAACGTTCATCAAATTAAGGTTTAAAGTGTAATTTTTTCTAAATGAATTTAACGGACGTTTGTTAAAAGTTAACGGTAGGGGTGAAATTGCTTAAATCTTAATTTTTCAAGGTTAAGAATGTATCTCTTTAAAGTTTAAGATTTAAATTACCTTTGAATCTATAGTCCAAATTTTAAATTGCATGTTAACCTATAAATTAATATCAAATGACATCTCATGTTAATAGAAAATGACAAAGTTAATAGATCACTAATTAAAAAAATTTGCTTGTCTAAAAAATAGTTTAAAGAAAAAATGCTCTACTTATTAATATAAGATGTCTAATGTTTTTTTGAAGAAAAATACACATTTTAGCCCCAACTCAAAATCATGATCATGGGTGATTGGAAGTGGGGTTGGCCCTAGTAACGATCATTGTGTCCCTGACTCCCTTCCCTGATGCCAGTCTAGTGAATTGAAGTCTCTCTCCTCTCTTTTTTGAATAACCAAGGCAACCTAAAATCCTTGTTGAAACATTATAAAAAGAAAAAACTAAAAATTAATTATAAGACAAATGAAACCTTCTTCCAAACTCACGTAAAAAAACAAATCTACAATGATTTGAAGTTAATATGAGAGCAAGATATTTTCATATCAGCCTGTTACAAGACCATTATGCTTTCTCCAAAAAGCTATCTCAATGAAGTATGTAACACACTCATTTATATACTCAAAATTCTTTTCAAGTTCCTTTGATGCAGGACATAACAATTATTTCGGCCAATCTATGAAGCCCCATTACTTGTAGCTGTTAGAAGAGTCCACCAATCAAGCAAACTCGATTCCAATTTTAATACCACTTTGTCATGAGAATATTATTTTTTTTTCAAAAGCTAGCTCAAATATACAATATATCTGTTCATATATCAAGGCCCTTTCTTAAATTCCTCTTATGTGGGATGTAACAAGTTGCCCGCTATATTATATTTTTCTGCCTTTCTTCCATTTTAAGCGTCTTTCACTTCATCACCTCGGTTTGCCATCTTCCATATTTGAGGGTTAAAAAAAAAGGTTGGATAATTATATTTTTAATATTTTCCTTGTTTGGGCTCACTCCAGGTCATTGGGCCCATGCCTGTTTTCTTCTATTATTGTATAGCCTTCTTGATTTTTGTGCTTGCAACTTTTTGTGAGGGTTGTGAGTGGCCCAGAATGATTGTTGAGCCTAATGGGGAGATGAATTTTTGTCTTTTGCCGTAGTTACGTAATTCCATTGCCAATCGTCTATTTGCATTGCTTCTCTTGCTGCGTTGCAGCACTTGACTAGAGTTCGAATATTTTATTAAACATGCAAGTAATAGGTATTCCCTGTTTAGTAACTTGTTCTCATAACAATTTTTTGTTCTGTAGAATTAGCGCCATACAAAGTTCAATTATATTGTCCAACTCAAATAAATATGGTTTGATTCAGTTTAGTAAAAAATATTAGTCCAAAGGATAAAAAAGATTAAATACATTATACTAACCTTTTGAATTAAATTGGACAGAAGATCAAACTCTTATACCACTTAGTTCGATCTGATTCTTTAAAATTATCTCAATATAATTTTAATTTTTTTAATTATATTTGAATAGATTAAAGTTTGAATGCACTGTTTACTTCCTTTACATAATTTTAATTTAATTTGCTGTCAAATTATTGTTGCAATGTAGACTAGATATGGTAAAGTTTGTTAAATGCCATTGTTGTTGAAATCATAAATTTGAATAATATAGATTGTAATTGAAATAGTTATTGTTGTTGGAGAATAAAATATTCTTTATGAGATGCTTACAAAATATAGAAAACTCAATTTATTTTTTAAAAAATTGTGATTTTAAAGTTTTAAAATCAATATAAAAAAATTGATATCAATACAATTTTTTTTTAATTTTTTAAAAATATTTATAATCATGTACTTAAATATATGGTATCTTAATATAAAATAATGCAAAACTTAAAGAATTAATTAATATTTAATATATTTTTAAAAAATATAATATTTTTGTTTGAGCATTCTAGCCAAGCTTGAACCTAATTGAGTTTAATCCAAAAAGATCTGAACATTAAATTTAATAGAGCATTTTGATCATTGCATGTCTAAACTTATTCACTCTTTATGTTATCTGTTTTCTGTATCTTTTCGCTATTTTTATATTTGACTTTTCAACTTCTCATACAAGCTTTTGTTCAAAATCAACATACTTTTATTTCATTTTTCATGTCACTGTTTGTCATGCGCGTTGTATGGAAAAATATTTAATTGCCACGACTATGTAATACCCAGATTTTACAATGTAATAGAACATTTCATTACATTATTGAACATTGGAGAAAACAAAGCTTTTAAATTCTAAATATGATAATTAAGCACACCGATTATATATGAAATTTAAATATTTAAACTAAATTACACTTGTAATTAATGAAATAAGTTTATCTCGTATAAAAAAACTTTGATTTTTCTAGAAAGAAATTTAGGAGATACATAATAAATAATCTTAATTTTTATAGTTTTTTTTATTAAAAAAATAAATGAAGTATACAATAGTTCCTCCTATAAAAAAGGGAGGAAGTAATGTAAAAATTAGTATAGAATTTATTATGGAATTTATAAATATATCGCTCGATGATTGACAATATATTGAAATAACATAGTATTTGTTTGAAGATTAAGAATAATTTTTTTATTATTCACAGGTGTCTTCGTATTAAAAGCATACATCCTTTTTTTATTAAAGGCAACACCATTTAATGTATGGTTAAATATTAAATATATTTTATAATGAAGATTCGAACCTGAATGATCAGTCTCTTTCAGTCGACCAAATCTCCATTCCACAGCATAAGCTATCGATGATAATTTTGTACACAAGGCCTAAAACGGAAAACTGGCAAGCCACCATGGAAGTTCATCCATCAACTACCCAATCCAAACCTTGCTGCACATTTGTTTGTGGACTTTGTACTCTCAATCCATAGTGGATTACTTCGTGGCCGCCTCTACATTAAAACAAACTGAGCTGGCCACATCGTCATTATCCAACAGAAAAACACTGGATTGGAGGTACGGGTGGAAATAAAGCAAGTCTTTAGCAAAGCGTTACAGTTTAATTTACTTTAAATCTAACCTAATTTATTTATTAAATAAACTTAAGTTAAATTCAGGTTTTTAATTAAACATATTTAGTAAAATAGGTGAAGTCTATTTTTTCAAAACCTAGCCCGTGAGCTCAAGTCTAATTATTTTTTATATATATATATTGTAATATATTGCAAACACGCTAGTTTCACTATTTAATTTTTAATTAATTTATTTTTGATTACTTTTAATTATATTTTCAATCATAGATTTATATATTAATTTTAATACTATCATTTTATTGTTATATTGTATTAAAATTGATAAGTTCTTTTAATTATTATGTATTGTAATTGATAAATTAGGTTATATATTATAATAATATTAAAGTATATTTGAGACGTTTAAAATTGAAATGCAAACTTATTTAAAATATTTATTTTTAAGTATACTTTTAAATAAGGTTTTAGGCCAAGTTAAACTGGTAGGCTCATACTTAAGTAATGAAAAAAATTTTATACAGATTTTAAGTTAGGCTCAAACTTTTAATTTATCACACAAATTTAGACTTCTTTAACCAAAATCTAATTTAATTTAACTTATTTTTATTCCTACTTGAGGGCATATTCTTTTCAAAGCTTAGTCATCTCATGTCATTTACGGCAACTAATATCTAAAGAACCAGAAGTAAGAAATTTCCAAGAAGGGAACCGAACACACATAGACATTGAATTATTGATATCGGGGCGTTGACTAATGACTAGGGGCGATGGATTATTGATATCGGCCTAAGAAAAGTTTGAACTTTGAATAACATGGCCCCAGGTTTTGAACAGTCAGAGTCTGCTACCCGCCTCAACGTGAACGACCAGCCTTGGCAAATCTTGGCTGACCTTTGAGGTGGCCATTACATAACATTTTCCCGCTTTTCCACGAACGCCACCCCATTCTCTCCATAATTACGCCTTTGCCCTTGTTACCGACTCGTCGTGTCCACACTGCCCTATCATTTCTGATCTGCCCCATCCAATGGCTTCCCCCCCCTCAGTAGACCTATGCAAAATTCTTAACAGTAACAGTGCCACGGAATTTGACAAGAGCACAGCTTTTATATATCTCCTGATGATTAAATATCTTTAAATAAAATGGAACTGTTTGTAAATTATAAAAATTGCTGTTTTACCCCTGCTGTGAGAATTTCTGCCGATGATCTACTGCTCCATGCAAAAAATTGATTCATAATCCTTACGGCGATCCAATTTATTCTCGATCGGCCGGTTTGGTGGGATATCCAATACTTGGTTAGTATTATGTATTCACGCGTTTAGCCAATTTTTTTTTTTTTTGTAATGGGAAAATCCCAATAGAGGATTTCTGAAACATTTTAATTATGAAAATGGACCATATGATTCTGAATCGGGATTAAAGGACTGCAACGCAATTAAATTTATCTGAGAAAAGACTAAATTACCCCCATACTTTCTTTTAACAAAAAAAGACTCCTCCCCAGTCCCCGGCCACCGGCGCCGGAATTCATATTCACATGTTTGTGTTCATTTTTGCTTTGGCTTCCAAGAATGGAATCTCGTCCGATGTTAAATTATCCGAAAACTCTAAATTTAGAAGCTCAGTGAGATTACCTATTCCCACCGATATTTGCCCCTTGAGGCTACAATTCATTAGATAGAGCCACGGGAGGTTTCTAAGATGATTTTGATTTGCAGAGCCCATGTGCGGTGATCACCCTCCAGTTCCTCCACCGCCAATATTCCAAGCCTGTTTGACATCAAAATATAGACGAGGATGATTACCAAACTCAGAATTAAAATCCCCATTTGGTCCACGCCTACGTTGAATCTTCCCTTGCCAATCAACTCTGTTCTCGTTCGTTTGCAAGAAATCACAGAATATATGAGCCAAATGGCGGAAGATTGGGAAGGTAACAACGACAATGATAAATTTTTCCCAAGGCGTGAAATTCTCTCTTATATTCCAAAAGACTTGAGCTACAATAATTGGATCTAGATGTCGAAATCTTACCTTGCGAGGCCCTTAATTACCAAATAATTATTCTTAAAAAGTATAGGGGCGCACTATAAGCAATTGAAAAAACAGAAGTACATAACACGGAAAAGAACAAAGCTCAACCTAAAAAAGTATTATATTATCTCCGTTGTCGTCTTCAGGTGAATCTTAACGATATGTAAAAGAATCAGAGGGAAGAGGAAAACCAAAGCGACCAACGATACATGGATCACAGACTCAAGGGCTGAGAGAAGAGATATTGCAACTGGTTGAGAGAAGATACATCAGGAAACGGTCTTGAGAAATCGTTTTTTCTCAAGTCTAAGTACACTAAGTGGACACAGTTTCTCAAATTCTTTGCAACTTCGCCGTGCAAGGAGTTGAACCCAATGAGAGCTTCTGGAGAGAATGAAGATGGCCAATGGAATAAAAAAGACAGAACCCCTGATAGGTTCTTAGAGGAAAGGTCGATTTCCATCACCAAATAATCGTCGGAATTGCAGGCAATACCGTGGAAATGGCAAACGGAGGTGGTGGAACTCCAAGAGTCAAAGATATGGGAGTTTGCTCATGGAGGAGTACTCAAGGAGAGAAGAAGTTGACGGTCATCGGATTGAACACTGTAGAAGGAGACGAGACGGAGGAGAGAGAGAGAGAGAGAGAGAGAGAGGAGACTGGGAGAGGAGACCTTTTTTTTAAGGGGGTAATTTAGTCTTTTCTTAAACAAACTTAATTGCATTTCAGTCCTAGATGGTCCTTTTTCGCGATTAAGATGCTTCCGACGTCCATCATTGCGATCCGCGCCCCACTTTCTCTCCCCTCTTTTTAAACGCATGCACGCGTATTGTTTGAATCTGCCTCGTTTGGTCATGCCTCTTTGTACCCCCATTGTTTCATGGAGTATTTTAAATTTAATGCATTCACTACGCAAAAGGCACACGCACACACATGTGCATGCGCTCGTGAGGTCGAGCCCTTTCATTCTGGAAAATTTTATACTGCATATATAAGAGTCATTCTTTACCTAGCAATAAAGCAAAACAATCACTATAGAAAATACGCCATATATATTCCTTTACAGTAGAAAACCAATTAAACCATGAAAGCTACACAAGACAAAATAAGGAAAATTACAAATATTTAGTCGTTTTCCGAACCAGTTAAAACTTAAAAGATCGTTAATTTTAATAAAAAAATTGGTCTCAAAAAACGTGAATAAGGCATTAAAAAACAAGCAGAGCGAAATTTAAATTATAAATTCATTGCATATAAATATTTCAGACAATACCAGTTAGATGACTTGATTTATTCCTGACGCGGAATGGCTAAAGAGTTTCTCTTCCAAACGAGCCATTGACTTTTGACTTTTCAAGTTTCAACTTGTTCTTTTAAGAAGGGTAATTTGGTCATTGAAACATATTAGAAAATCCACCCTCCAGTTCAGACCCCAATTAATTCTCGGAATCGTTCAGCTCATGTCATGCCGTTGATCTAGTCTTCTCTTTTGCTCCGTCCTCATCAGTCAGTCATAAGCAACCTTATCGTCTCACCCCCGGATCTCCCATCTCTGCAACCATGGACAGAGAACAGGAAGAGATGCAATTTCTGAGCCTCTTCAGCGTGTTCACAGAATCCTTCAAGATCGTATCATCATGGCGAAAGATCTTCACCCAGATCACCCTTACTCTCATCCTCCCTCTCTCCTTCATCTACCTCCTCCACATAGAAGTCACCAACCTACTTTTACACAAAATCTTCTACAACGCCCAGGAAATGAGCAACACTCCCCTGGGCTCGCCCCGCTATGAGAAGCTCTCCGATCTCCTCTCCTCTGAATGGGCCACTTTCTGGCTCTTCAAGATCTTCTACTTCACTCTCCTCCTTATATTCTCCCTCCTCTCCACCTCTGCCGTCGTGTACACCGTCGCCTCCATCTACACCGCCAGAGACTTTACTTTCCATAAAGTCATGAGCGTCGTTCCGAAGGTCTGGAAACGCCTCATGGTCACTTTCCTGTGCGTCTTCGCTGCCTTTTTTGCTTATCACATCGTGGCATTCTTGGTTGTATTCATATGGGCAGTTACCATCGGAATCCAAAGTGGAGGGATTGCCATCCTTGTGATCATAGCCATATTGTTTTTCGCTGGGTTTGTGTATTTGACTCTGATTTGGCAATTAGCTAGCGTTGTGTCGGTGTTGGAGGAGTCGTATGGGGTACAGGCCATGCTGAAGAGCAGGGAATTGATAAAGGGGAAGATGGGGCTTGCTATAGTGATATTCTTGCTGCTCAACGTTGCGTTTATTCTAATTCAGGTTTTGTTCAAGGTGGTGGTGGTGCACGGATGGAGGCTGGGTTCCGTCGACAGAACAGCTTATGCGATACTGTGTTTCTTCTTGTTGTCTGTGTTTTTCCTGTTTGGGCTGGTGATCCAAACGGTGCTCTATTTTGTCTGCAAGTCCTATCACCATGAGAATATCGACAAGTCCGCTTTATCGGATCACCTGGAAGCCTATCTAGGAGAGTATGTGCCCTTGAAGGCCAGAGATGTTCAGCTGGAGCAATACCATGTTTGACCCAGGGATATTATGTATATATCATAGACACCATACACGCATGTATCTGTCACCAGGTGCTTGTAGCTTATCAGCTTTTGCACTTAAAATTTTATCAGCCATGTGTCTGTCCAGATCCAATTTCAATGCTGATCATAAGTACTGAAAGTTCATTTCTTCTAAATTGTTCAGATTTAATATGAATGATCTAGATTTTTAGCTTTTGACTTTAATTTTTTTTAAATATTTAAATAGACATAGAATTTAAAATAAAGATAATCTCTTAACTGTTAATTTTTTAAAAAAGAATTATTTAAAAAGTTCATTGAAAAATTGTAAAATTAAAAAATTAAATCTAAACAGTTCAGAGATGATAAGCTCTCAGTGTTCGTCCGTATAACGAGCATTGAAACCAATTCTTAATATGTCCTAGTTAGCTATATGATATATATGCTGCTTCAATGGTTTAATTACAGGAAAATTTGGAGCCCATATTTTCTTGGAAGACGTTTTCCAACATTCCCCGACTCATTTTCTTTTTCATCAGTGTATTTTTTGATCACGATTAATATCAATGTAAAACATAAAAAGTAGCAATTAATAGATTACAAAAAATGTAACTCATTTTATTTAGCCACGTGACGTGACCCACACCAATTAGACACTACAACAGAAGATCTTGAGAAAATTATATCAGTGTTTGAGAAATGAAAAAATACCGCGGAGTAACTAACATCATCTGGACATGGACGTATCTATCTACAACAATGATGAGGATTATAACACTTTTTTTTAAATTAAAATAAGGGGATATTTTAATCGAGATGAGGATGAGGGGATTTTAATATAATGTTATTTAATTTGTTTGAAAGAAAATGAGAGGAAGATAATAATAAATTGATCATTATGCTCCAATCAAACTTTAGATTTTTATTAATTTTTTAGAAAATGAAAAAATATAGTTATATATATATGTATATTTATATTATTCAAAATGAAAAAATATAGTTATATTTATATTATTAATAAAGTCGAGCATTTTTAGTCGATTTTCCCTGCAGAAGGCTAAAGAAGATATCTCACAAGCTACCCATCCAAATCACTAACTCAGACTATTAATATAAACTGCAGTTGTGTATTTGCACTGCTAGATTATGACATTTTCATATACGATAACACTGAAGTAGAAGATATATATAGAGCTTTACATGTTTAGTAATTGAGAAAGATAGAGAGGATCATGCAACCTATGTGTTACGTTCATGGTATATTTTTCTCTCCCTACTGAATTCTCTCATGTGGTGGAGAGGAGTTCACATTCTATGTTCTACGCGTTGTGTGCAATATAAAAACCGAAGCATGTAAAGTAGCTTTCGATATCCAGATTAAAAATAAAAAAAAGTAGAAAAACTCAAACTGCATGCATGCATGCATACATAAGACTCAAGTTCGCTAATTAACAGGGACAGCACAATGCATTTGTTGATGATTGAAAGAAAAATTGATGTCATTTGCTATTTGTTTGGCATCGTCAGAAATTCCTTGCAAGCCACGACTCCCAAATCCAGCGCAGTAGAGTCCATTTTCTGCTCTCCAGTGATCTGGATATCTTCGTTTAGGCATTCCATTCTCCTTGAACAAGCTTTCGTAGTCCTTGAGCCAATTCAACACATTGCTTTTGTATCCTGTAGCAAATATGATAACGTCAATTTGACGCCGTCTTCCGTCATCAAATTCAACTACTTTGTTCCGGATGTCTCTGATGCCTGGAAAAACCTACACAAAACAACACATACACATACAATCACATATTTATACTATAATCAAAGTATATATATAGGTAAAATAAAATATATATCCATATCTATGGCTACCGTTATTATGCCTTTCTTGATTACGTCCACGCAACCCACATCTATGGTCGGAGAACGGCCCGTTGATGATTTGAGAGAGAAGGGTACCTCCCTGGGTCTACGAATCCCATACCGGGACAAATTTCCAAACCTGATCTTGCTCATGAGCACCACCATTTTATCCACAATTTTCACCGAAAAGAACTTGTGCATGCGCATTCCGATGTATATCATTTCCTTAGTCACAATATGCACTGGGCTTCTCACGACAATAGATGCATTAGCGCCCCAGGTGGTGAGATCATAAGCGATCTCCATTCCTGAATTGCCGCACCCTACCACCAACACATTCTTATCATACAAGTCTCTCCCATTCAAATACTCACTACTGTGCATGTATTGTCCTTCAAAGTTACTCAGCCCTGGCACGTCGGGAATATACCCTTCATTGTTCTCGCCGGTTGCTACCACCAAAAACTTGCTAATATAAACCTCAGTAGCATCGGACAATATGTTCCTCGCGACGACCTTCCACCTGGCATTATTTTCATCAATGATGGAGGCCGACTCTACGAAGCGATTGCATTTTGTTTTGACATCTAAATTGTGGACATAATCATCGAGGTAACGCATGAAAGCAACCCTGGGGACGAAGGTGGGCGTGTGGGGAGGAAAGGGCATGTAAGGAAGGCCACAGAATTCTTTTGCCAAGTGGAGCTTGACGCGATCGTATGTTCTTTTCCGCCATAGAGGCGCGTGGCAGTCCTCTCCTTCTAAAACGACGTTGCAGATGTCGAGCCTGTTGAGGCACGCAGAGGCTGCTATTCCGGCAGGGCCTCCGCCGACGATGACGACCTGTACTTCTTCCATGCATTGCTTTATCACGACTTTTCATAATTATAGACTTCTTTATTCCGTTATTCGTTTAGGCGGCTGCTAAATATATAAGATCTTTAGTTAAAGATGCAGTTTGATTTGGGATAAATTTGTTGGCGACACAGATATGGCTGGCGATAAATAGATTTCCTTCAGCACAGGTTCTAAAATAACTCTACCTTTTATTTAGCAAGAGAGCGCACAACTGTCCATGCATCAATGAAAAGATTTGAGGATGCTTAGACATTGGAAGTTACACCCATGAGGTGCGTTGGCGGATAATAGGCTAAATATACAGGCCATATCGGCTTTAAGGGCGAAGGGTGTCTGCTGCCTTACCTGATGCGCCTAATATCATCCCTTCAATTGATCCATTGGGTAGAAACATTTCATTAATTGAAATGACGTCGTTTTGAAGGAGCAAATCTTGACCGCTTATCCACAGAACAAATCCAAGTCGTTGATCTCTTTTAATGTTTAATTCATTGATTTTTTTGACCAGCAGTATTAACTTCAGAGATTCAACCATTTTTTGTTCCAGGTTACCTTTCGGCGACAACTTCATCCCTAGCTTCCTGACTTTAAACAGTAGAGTACAAGTTTAGCGAAGATGCAGATCTTTTCGTTCAACCACTCTAGCTTCCTCACGTCTTCCTCCGCTGCGCCCACTGGCTTCCACGACCAAATTCCTATTTTAAGATTCGACGAGTTGCCCCAAGTCGAAGCCTGAATCGCTTCTCTGTAACAGTCACCTATGACGACTCACGTGAGACAGGGATGTGAATTTTGTTGATTGATCTTCTTTGTACGTTGTCTGACTTCTTCCTATATTTCTCCTTCTTCTTCCTCCTGAAATTCTGAGTTTCTTTTCCTTTTTGGTTTTGTATTCACTTATATTCAGTTGTGCCTAACATTCGTTTGTACTTCAACAGGAAGCACTGTTAAAGTTGGGATTTTACTCAAGCAAGGAAGACATGGAATATTTCAGCTTTTCGAGTGGAATTGAATGTGCTGTGAAGACTTGGCAAGTTAGTCTTATTTGGCATGGTTTATAAATTGTCATTGAAGAGAAGAAAAAGATTTTTTTCCCCTTCTGTGTTGACCCTGAACACATCTGTAATCTATTCTATGACTTTAACTTCCATTTGATATTGAGCATTTATAACTTAAATCATACGTGATTGGAATTTTAGTGCTTCCCTGTACATTTGACTTGGGTATATTTTGTCTTATTAACATGTATATGTCTTCTTTACTGATTGTATGAAAAATAAGTAGGTTCTATTATTGTGTTCATGCAGGCTATGCTGGTTATGATAGTAAAGATTCACCAAATGAAAATTTAAAATTTCATTGAATGAACAAACTTTACATTGAATATCTGTCTGAATTGCAGAGTGAAAATCATAGTATATTGGCAAAATATACAATTGCTAGTAATGTTATGTTATTGTTGAATAATTTGCAGACCCAGAAGGAATCAAAAATACTAAAGGAGCTGCCTTATACTGTCAAAATGACTGGACCAAAATGAAACAAAAATATTGAAGAAGCTACCTTGTACTGGCTAAATGACTGCACCAAAATATCTTCTTGAACCAGAATGAAGCTAAAGCTGGAGTAGTGGCCACGATCATGGGATATATCTTCACGTGTGACTGATGGTGCTAGATTGAGAACCTATGTTAAAGAGACAGCATTGTTAAAGTTTTACAAATGTACTGCTTGTAAATAATTGAATTGAAAGTTCTAGTATACTAGAACACATGTATTGTACCAAATTTTGAATAAAATTATACCATGTTCTAATGCACCCAATGAGCCAAGTGATTTGGTTTTTCTTTTCTTTTTTTGCCTTTGTGAAGCTAAGTTATAGGTTTTTTGTGGCACTTGAACATCCTACAATAAAAGCAAGTAAAGATTAGTGATGATCAAAGTCAAAAAGAAGATAATAGAAAATAACAAAAATTATGTTTTACTTCAAGTTTTTGTGAGGATTGGATATTTTTTCTTTTATTTCTTTGCTTCTCAATGATTGAGTTGGACTTTTCTTGTGACATTTTAGCACCCTGCAATAAAAAATAATTACTTTGATCAAATTTAAAATAAAAATGATATATGATAAAATGATATTTTTACCTTGGGTTTATGTTTAGATTGCACTTTTCTTTTTTTGTTAGATTGATTATCAACCTAAGTCATATATTGCCTTTTATGCTTCTTCCCCCTCTCTTTTTCAAAACTACAGTTATAGCATACTTTGTACACATTTTGGAGGATGTATCATCTTCAGAAGATTCACACATGGTAAGAATATCACTAACTTTCTTATTGAGTTCTATGATCCCTTGTTGCACAACATCAAAAGTCTCTTGACATTTTGAAGCCTCGGATACTAACCTCACAAACATAGGACATAATTGCCTATAACGTATTGAACTTTTCATCTTAGGATCAACTTGAATCTCATTACCCAAAATATCTTGAACAACTCCACATCTTGCTTCCCTTGTCCACCTTCTCATTATATATTGTTTTGGAAGTTCATCAACTTCTAGATGTGTATATATCCTCAATGCATGACAACAAATTATTCCATATTGTTGAAAGTTCATGCAACTACAATTGGTTAAACCATTAGTAGTATCATAAGAAACTCTCCACTCTCTTGGTTTAGTAATCATTCTAACCATATATTGCATTACATTACCTTCCTCATCTCTTTCTTTTATACGGCATGCACAACTATAATCCCACTCACATTGAAAGACATCAAGTATAGTAGGAGTGTAGATTTGAGAGACTTGTTGGAGCATTGGGGCACTTCGCACAATTAATCTAGGCAACTTTCCACGTGTGTCAAAGTCATGTTGCAACTCAGTATATCGCTTTTCATTAACTACCAATTCAAAGAGCTTGAAGAATGTATTGATATCAAGTTTAGGCTTCATGCAATCCTTTAAAGATGAATTAATGCTCTCACTTAGTTGAGTGCTTCGCATACCAATTGTGAAAGCATATTTCATATAACAAGCTGTCTATTTTTCTTTTACCTTATATATGGAGCACAACCAAGAGTTTTCTTCCAAATTATAAGTCAACTGTAGCTTCCTCCAAGCATCCTCAAACTCAAATTCTTCATGGTAGTCATACAAGCACTTGTTAAGATCAGTCAAGAAATGTAAGCCATCTTTCATTAAGTTCCTCAAATATTTCACACCATTTCTATGCAAATGGAAGATGCACAAGCCATGTTTAACCTCAGGCATTACATCCTCTAATGCCCTAGCCATTGCTTGATCTTGATCAGTAAAGAAAGTACGTGGTTGCTTTTGCTTGTGAGCCTGCAAGAATGTTTCAAAAAGCCATTTAAATGACTCTATTGTCTCATTATACAACAACGCAACACCAAAAATTATCCCTGTTCTATAATGGTTGAAGCCTGAAAAAATAGTAAGGGGTTTGTTTTGACGATTAGTGCAATAAGTTGTATCAAATGAAACAATATCACCCAAACAAGCATAATCTATTAGCATTTGAGGATCAACCCAAAACACATTTATTATTTGCTCATAAAATCCATCTGGTAAGCATGAAAAAAAGATGGATTCTTTGCCAATTGTAGTTGAAAATATTTTAATAAAGATCCAGTGTCTCTATACTTCATTTCTCGTTGCCTCTTAAACCTTAAATAACTTTTGACATCCTCCCTTGTAAACCCCAAATTAGCTTTACCTCCAACTTGCTTACTCATCAAATTAAATGTAGCTTTTTATTAAAGCCTGACATCATTTGCAATTTCTATTTCATTACCTTGAGCTACACCTATTTTACGTTGAGACCATAAAAGATGCACCGAATTTGGAGGATGCAAAGAGGATTATGCTCACTAACAAATTCACTAACTCTCCATTTTCCATCCACAAGTTTTACAATCATTTTTGCTTTACAATCAATTCTAGTCTCTGCATGAGGATGTTTCATTTTATAATCTTGTTTGTCTGGCCTTCTCACTCCTTCCTTACTACAAACATATCTATAACAAGTAATGATAGACTTGTCCCTCTTACTGTAGGTGAAATTATGCTTCCTAACATTGAAGCCCATTTTACCTCTATAGTTGATCCAAAATTGATATGCATTATCTAAACTTTCAAACTTAAGGCCTATTCTGGGTGTAAATTCAATATCCATCCAATTAGATCTACATAAACAATCAAAATTCATGGTAAAAAAAGCATAAAGTTTAAAAAACATTGCCATAAAGTTACATATCCAAACATTTAGCCAAAACATCCAATTAAGTAGGAAAAAGTTTAACAAGAATACAGTAGGAGAGAATGAGAAGAAAAATGACTTTTAAATTATAAAGAAAATGTGTCTTCCATACATAAACCACTTTTAAAAATTAACTAAAGTGTGAGTTTGATTATGATTTTTTTTAATATGCTTTAAGAAAGGTAGATGTTGTTTCCTTCTTAAAAACCTTGGTATAGCACATAGGAGTCATACATAAAATTATTTTTTATCTATCTTCCACGTGAAGCAATGACCAATCTCAAGCCACAAGCATTATAATAGCTTAGTTCTTCATAGCATTCCTTATAAGCTATATATATAAAGAAACGCAGATAAAGGAGGCGTAAAAAATGTAGGCTTAAGAAACTTAACTAAATAAAGAACACCAACATGATAAATATAACCTATAGTAAATATTTGAAATGACAATACAATCAGCATTATATTTTTATTCTAACAATGAACAGAGCAGTCCTAAGCATCTCTTAAAGTTTTTGTTCCTTTCAACATTCTCAATAAACACTTTAAAAGGTAGGTTTTTTATCATATTATAGCCTTTTTGCATCATTTTCACACTAATAATCATAAAAAAAGCGTCAAAAATCATGCTTGATAAGCTCCACAAATCTGTGCAGAAGTTTCCCGCTCTTGATACTCTGTTTTTGTGATTAGCTTCTCTACCAATGTGATGAGGAAAACGATGGTTTTAAATTAAAAGCCATGAATGGCTAAGATTAAAGGCAGGAATGAACTGTCCAAATTTAACCTGCTAAACGATGTCGTTTTGATTAATGAATTGTTCATGGACGTAGGATGAAATTAATGGCTAAGATGAGAGGCATCAGAAGGGGCAGCACAAAAGGCACATCAGACACCCTATGCCCCAGCTTTAATTAGGTGAGAGTGGTGAGAGATCGATCCCTGTTTTTATTCTTGCCTTCAGAGTCAGGCGACCCGCCATGCTTGGATATTTCCTTTTATTTTTGTTAGCTTTATGAAAAAGATTCATGAACATGAAACTTTGAAAATACTTGTATACTTTTAGTTAAAGTTGTTAAACTTACAAGTTTAAGTAAATTCGTGATAGGAATATAAATTTATATCGCAAACTCAGATGATAAACTCATAAGAGTTTACTTCTGTTAACAAATAACACTAAAATATGATTGTAATTTAATTTAAATATATTAAAATATAAATAATTGAAATTAAACTAATCTATATTGGTAAATTATCACATACAAGACATAAAAATTTTAAAATAGGGTAACTTATTTTTAGTATTTTTGTTTTCTTTTTTATTAATATTAGTTTTTACATTTCAAGTTTTTTTTTTCTTTGAACCAGATCTTATAACTTTTATGAACTGAATTCTTTATAATATATACTTAACTTGCTCAACTCAAAAAAAAAAAAATTGATAAGCTTAACAAGTTTAACTAAGTTTACATCTAGTCTGAATTTATGAATTAGTTGATATGATTTTATAATTTAGAAATGTAAAAACGATAAACTCGGAGGTGAATTCACGAGTTTAATCGAGTTTGTATCCAATTTAAGTTTATGAGTGAGTTGACATGATTTTATAAGTTAAAAATGTAAAAATATTAAATTCATAGAATCAACTCAAAAGTTTAACAACTATACTTTTAATCTTATTCTATGCGTTTGTTTTTAACGAAAAATAAATTAAAATAAATTAATTTTTTATATTATTTATTTTATAACAAACTCTTATTATCATTGCTAACAACTTAAACTTTATTTATTTTTATTTAATTAAGCAAAGCTAAGGTATATTAAATATATAATGTTAACTAATTTATTTTGTTAGGGGGGAAGCTTATGATCATGATGTGGGCCTGTCAGTGCTAATAATAAATAGACAGCCCTGTACTTTACTGTTGGATAGCATACAACCAGGTGAATTACTGTTTGACCAAACATATACTATTTTAATTTTATTTATAAATTATTTTTAATATATTTTATTAGTATTAATAAAATGTTTAAAACTCATTAACTCTATTTTAAAATTTAATAAATTTTTAATTTTATATTTATTAAATATATATATTTTAATAATATATATTTTTTAACATTTAATGGAGGGTAAAAAGAAAAAAATTATGATAAAAATTTAATAACATAAGTTATAAATAAAATTTAAAAAATTTTCATCTCTTTACCCTAGAAATGAGACTAAGGGAGTGTAATGTTTTTCATAACACGTCAAACTTACTTATTTCATTGTACTGTCATTTCCAATCTTATTTCACAAAAATATTAATTCTACCAACCATAGAACAAGCCCTTAGAAGAAGGTGAGCACTGTCGTTCAAAATTGCAATTGGTTCTGAACTGAAACTGAAATTGGACTCCGAATTTCGCAAACGAAAATTCGTTGTGAAGAAACTTAGAAAGGTGCGCTCGCATATACCTATTTAATATTAATATTGAATCCACACTCTCGCATCAGCCCGGTTCTATGGTGTAGTGGTTAGCACTCTGGACTTTGAATCCAGCGACCTGGGTTCGACTCCCGGTAGGACCTTTTTAAAATTTTGGCGAGAGCCTTTTTAATGTTAAAAATTATAAGGAAAATATTAAAGGAATCAATAAATCCCAACATTGTCTGGCCGAAAAAATAATTTAAAAAATCCCAACATTACAAGAGGAACCATCAGATAGCGCAAGAGTTGCCAGCCCAGATGATTACGTTGAAGGGAAATAAAAATCCATTGGCAACAATCATAGCCTACACAGATGGGCCGAGGCCCACTGACAGCTCTGCAATGCCGAAAAGTGGCAGTTAAAATACTGTTTCCTCCCGCGAAAAAGCGGTTTCGCCGAATTAGAATATTTGTGCGCAGAACTGGAAAGGCGAGGTCAGGCTCGTGGCACTCCCTTCTCTTTCTCGCTCCCATCTTTCTCTTCATATCCATCTCTTCTCTCTGAGTCCTCTCCATCTCTTCCTTTCAGTTATCACCTCACCATGGTTAAGGATACTGAGTATTATGATGTCCTGGGGGTTACTCCCTCTGCTTCCGAGGTTCAAATTCGAAAGGCTTATTACCATAAGGTTTTGATCTCATCCTCACCCCACTCTTCCATCTTTGACTCTCCTCCTCCTTCTTAATTCCTCTTTGCTTCTGGTTCGATAATTAACCCCGTGGGTTTGCTCTTGATGAGATTTAGGTTTCCCAGAGTTCCCTTCAGTGTAAGAAATAACTTCTGTGTTTTGTTGCTGCTGCAGGCAATGCAAGTTCATCCGGATAAGAACCCAAACGATCCTCAGGCTGCTCAAAAATTTCAGGCAAGTTTGCTGCATCGAAATTTCCGTCTACTGATTTTATGAGTAATAACCTTTGGATAAAGCAATGGATGTCAGACAAGAAAGCATCCTTTCACATGATTCCTTATCATAGATTTCCCCTTCTGATGTTGGCAGGTTTTGGGTGAGGCTTATCAAATTTTAAGCGATCCAGTGCAGAGGAACGCATACAATCAAAATGGAAAACATTGTGTGTCTAGGTACAGATGATGCTATGTGTTAAAGCTTCTTCTCTAGCGTAGCTTTTGTGTATTTGTAGAAACTAGTATTTCTAGAAATATTAGTTGCGGAAGTCACGGCCCTTCATAGATTGAAAATTTCTTGTTGATTGAAAGTGGACAACTTTTGCTTTGGACTTTGATTATGCTGCTAACTTTGCTCCGCATCAGATTAGACACGGCTAACTTTTTTCTTTCAAAGCACGTAGCACCGCACATTATGCTTTTCTTATTGTCATATGCTTTATCATTAAAAGATAGAGATACAAATGCTGAAGTTGTCCTCAAAAATAGTAGCGTTGCAATACAGAGCCATGACAGGCATCTTATTTATTGCAATTACCCTTATAGAATTCGAAGAATTATTTATAGATTATTATCCCTTGAGCAATTTACACTTTTCATACTTAAAAAGGAAGGAGTTAGAAAAATAATTCTCAAAATGAATTAAAGATATTTGGTACAAAATATTAAAATTTACAAGAATGGAAAGATCATCGTTATATAAACCCTCTTTTATTGTCCTCAATCATTATATTCCTTGTCGATGTTTTGGTGGAATGTTTTTTCTTTTTGTGCCTGAAAGTTAACGGTTTCTTTTACAGGGAAACTATGCTAGATCCAATGGCTGTCTTTGCCCTGCTTTTTGGAAGTGAATTATTTGAGGACTACGTAGGGCATTTAACTGCGGCATCAATGACTACTTCTGAAATGGCTGATGAAAGTGAATTTCCGGATAAAATACATGAAAAATTGAAGGCGAGTGTGTTTGACAATTCAGTGTGTGTTTGTGTGTAACAGTAATACAACAACAGTAACATCCTTGAAATTTGTATTGCATCATTCAGTGATATATTCATTCTTTTAACATTTTATGTAGATAAAATGTAATTTCAGAGATGAGATGACAATGACATTGCGTGTTAGTCATGTTTTTATATCATGAATTTGAGTATAGGACAGTTAATCCTGTTTGGCTTATAGTGCATCTATGATTTGCATCACTCTGATGTAGGCTGTCCAAGGAGAAAGGGAAGAAAAACTAGCAAGTTTCTTGAAAGATTTTCTTGGTCAATATGTCCGTGGTGATGAAAAGGGATTCTTCCAGCGTGCAGAATCTGAAGCCAAACGACTTTCTAATGCAGGTTAATAAACTTCCAGCTGTCTATTCCTTTTAACTAAGGGTAGTGAAAGTGTTCAGAATAACATGCCATTGATAAATAGGTGCTACAAACAAAGGTCATGTCATGAGGAGCTTCTTGCTCTTTTAAGTTTGAAATAGTTTATTGAAGTTCTACAATCGCAAAACTTAATTCACACCATGTTACATTGTGATCATATTAAATGGGATAAGTGGATAACAAATAGTTTACATTGAGTTTGAATGTAGATTTTGGACTTGATATGCTACACACCATCGGCTATATTTATTCAAGACAGGCAGCACTAGAATTGGGGAAAAAGGCCATTTATCTTGGAGTGCCTTTTTTGGCTGAATGGGTTCGACATAAAGGACATTTCTGGAAATCACAAGTAACTGCTGCCAAAGGTATACTTTAAAGATCATTCTGATTTGTGGCACCTTCCTTGAGCACCAGTTATTTCTCTTCAAAATTTTGTTGTAACTTGATATCTAATTTTGTGGGGCTAAAATATTTAGGTGCATTTCAGCTGCTGCAGCTTCAAGAAGACATCCACAAGCAATTTAAAATGGATGGCAGTGGCCCTGCAAATGATGTTGAATCTCATATTCGCCTTAATAAGGATACAATAATGAATTCTTTATGGAAGTTGAATGTAGTAGACATAGAAGTAACCCTGGTAAAGGTCTGTCAAATGGTGAGTTCATAAGTACTTCCAACCCTATAATGTGGCATTCATTCTGATATTGCTTGTAGTTGATTATGGAAGGGGTTTTTGCTTTTCCATCTTAGGTGTCTTTTATCCTGATGATGAGGAATTGTTTGCTATTAGAGACACTTATGCACACCTAAGTGTTGAAATTTGTCACCTTATTGGAGATCAAAAGAAATGAAAAGGCAAGGAGGTTTTTATCCAGTTTTCTAAATATTGCTGCAGGTCCTGAGGGAAAATAACGTTAAGAAAGAAGAACTGAAAGCCCGTGCTAACGCTCTCAAGATTCTTGGAAAGTTATTTCAGGTAAACATATTAGCGACTAATAATTACATATTACCGCTTAATTGGAGGCGACAACGTACCCTAAATCCTGAATAAATACTGGAGTTCAATGTATGTAAAAACAAGCCATTATTCTGGCTGGTGAGAAACTAGTTTTAGTAGAGGCCCTGTCACTTTAACAAGACAAAGACGGCTACCTTCCCCCAAGCGTCCTTTTATTTTTTTCGACATTTGGCTTATTATTTAGAATATGTATCTTGCCATGTCTGCTCCGTCTGCTGGAGTTTAGGAGTCAAGAAATGATAGGTTTCTTTTTTCAGGAAAACAATTCAAAAGGAGGAGGAGCTTCGAAGAAGAAAATAGCGGCAGATTCTGAGGATGAAGGAAGCAGTTCAGATTCTTCCGAGGATGATGAATCACCGAGAGCAGTTTCCTATCGAACGCCTTTTTTCACTCAGGCAATGCCATAATCATAGAATTACTTAAATCTAAATATCTCACGTGCATTTACATATTTATTGTAGAAGTTGTGATTACGCCAGCAGGTGGACATATTCATTCTCTCAGCTGTGTTTGTGCAGGGTATAGGTAGGCTGTTCAAATGCCTGTGTAACCCAGCATTTGATGTGGACGACGAAGAGATCGTTTACAGAAGCAAATGATGCCAGTTGCCAGATAAATGATTGAAGCAGACAGTCAGCCCTTGTCAACGTGGCAATAGCATTTGATGGGAAGACGATGCTGTTGGTGCGAACCATGAATAATCATGTTTTGTGCTACTCAATTTCAGAACTATCCTTGTCGACCAACAGCTGTTTGTCATCCAAACTGCTCATTGTTTGCCCTTTTTCTTTTTCGGGTTAGAATCTGTTTTTCACGTCAACTTTTCTTTGGGCTCTTATTAGAAAAGGCCCAAAACTACAGAACCTATACAGTGTATACAAAATATTTCAATTACATATCAAAATTATTAAGAACTATTATTCTCTTTCGGCCTGAATTAAGAACTGTCGATCAATATTCAGAACGGGATTATATTGTTCTAGTCTATCACCCACCCAATCTTGTATATGTTCGTACCTATTCAATTCTGCTTCTGTGTTTTAGTTACAGTTAATGACTGCGTTAATACATTCTGCACAGGAAAAAAAGGATTGCATGGATAGAAAAATAATGGGCATGGCATGTTAAGTAACACAAAATCTTAACCAATGAACTGTTTTTACTCTATATCACTGCCCTAACAACCTTGAGACAAAATGCAGCTCCTAACACATTTATGGGGGGGGGGGGAAATCTTCCGCGTATATCAGCCAAAAAACATGTTTGATATATATATATATATATATATCAAACAGAAACGTAATATATATAAATCATATATGTTATTTTGAATAATTTTATAATTAAATGCTGATAAGCGATGAACACCACACGAGTCGCAAACTTACACTCCTAATTTTAACACAACATTTAAAAATCTATAATTTACTCAAACGAAACTTAAAATGGATGGAGCCACCAAAAAAGGGCAGAAGAAGAGAATTAGAATGCACGACAAAAATGTTGAACGCAGGCGACATAGACCGTTTGGAAAATCAACATTTCACATCCCAAAAGGAGTTTTTAACTTTTGGGATGTAAGATGGTGTTTGAAGAAATTTTTTCTGGACAAAAGCACTTTGAAAAAGTATATTTGGAAATGGTTGAATGTGAATTTTCCAATATTACATCCGGTTGCTTTTCAAATGTGAATGTGGATCATTTAATTTTTTGTACTAATATTTGATCATGATACCTTCCATTTTGGTGTCCTGTCACTCATTTCTCATGACTGAGAGCTCACTCATCTCTTTCATCTCGTATGTCTCTCCACTGTCTCTCGTCCTTGTCTCCTCCATCATCTGGTCATGGTAGGAATGACAACCAAAACTGGCTTTCCTTTAATTGGGTTCATGGTTCGGCGATATAGTGCAAACCACTTGTTCTGCATGCATTAGTTTTTCCTCTAAGGCAGAACAAGAGTCCTTTGCTTTGAAAGCATCTCTTTGTAGCATTGCATATGGCTTGAACGATGCATTTTAGCTCCTTTGTCGTGTTGACGAAGATGCTAGGAAGAGGGGAATGAATCTTCGAGTACTTGCAAGTCGGCTGAGTAATCTCAAACTCGGCAGCAAAATCGATATCTAAGAAGTACATGCTCTGCCATGATGATGAACCAAATTGGATTACATCAATGAAAGTAGTAGTTACTAGCGGTGACCCTACTGGATGAATCCCATTTGGTCGTGCAAGATGATCTCCCTTCATCTGCATTCTCTTACTTTTCTTTTTCTTTTTCCTTCATTTTTCAATTCTCTATTCCCTTCCTCAGAAAAGTCAAAAATTTGATTTAAAATAAAAATGAACAAATTATTAAATTGGCCCTTCAATTTCTTGAAAACACAAAGTAACTGAAGTTAAATTAATCTAATTGAACTAACTAAAATCTTAAAAATGAGAATAAAAATCACTCAAGTAATAAAATGTGTCAAGAAATTAAAATTCCAAATTAAAAATATTTAAGTTCAATAAAATGCGCCAAATTATAAATTATCATAAATTAATATTTTTTTAATTATTATATATTTAAAAGTACAAATTTTTATTAATCAAAATAACTTTCAATTTGTCAAATTGACTTTTAAAAAAATATATCCAAACATAAATTTTATTATAATAATTTATTTTTAAATTTTGTTACAACAATTTACTTTTATCAAATTAACTCTTATCAAATAAACTTTTATTAAATTAACTTTTAATAAATTAAAAATTAAATACACATAATCTTGAAGCTGTCCCTATTCACTCGCGACTCCAATGCCTGGGCGGGCTTGTTCTCATAAATTGGAGCATCGATCTCACTCGTGTGGCTTCTCTCTCACTTGTTTATTGGCTACCAAATCTTCTTTATATTTCCATTCTTCGTATCGCTTTCACTCCCACAGTCCCATAACATCAGGGAACCACCGCAGAGAAATCCAGATGCATCAAAATGCTTTCAGACCGATATTCCCTGGGAAAATTAAAAATATTTTAAATTTTTTAGTTTTTAATTAAAACAATCTTATTGAATTTTAGTTAAACTTTTCTTTCAAATTTTCGTTATTTTTATTTTAAAAATTATATTATCGTGTTTCAAAATTAATTAAGTGTAAATTACATTCAATATGAGATCTCCCTTATAATTAGCAACCACAACGCTTTTTCAAGTATTAATTAAACCCACACATTCTAGAAGCACATCCACATAAAAAGCCTTCGCGAACAATGCGTACAGACTATACACACCACAAATATTTTATTCCTTTATATATTTACTTAGCTAAGTTTATGCCATCCTCTCCAGTCTCCTCGGACTCGGAGAGCTCGAGAAAGAAACAAACACATATCATAACAGGGAATAGAAGTTAGAAGTCTATTTTTCTGTGTCACTCGACAGCCAACTAGTAAAAGCCCAGTTTCTGTATTTGATTTAATTTAAAAGTCTGAAGCTTCACATACAATCCGGCGACAGAAAACTCACAGGATAAAAAGTTGAGCCGTTCTACATGCTGGCAAACAAAAAAGGGTGCGTATAAGCAAACCGAGTGTCACAGATATGTATCTACACAAGCAGAAGGGTTGGTTCTACTTCTCCTTACCCTGAAAGGCACTTCGTGCAGATGGAATGAAGGGGCTCAACGTGCCGGATGAGGAAAAGCATTGATGGCACGATGTGCCTCGCCGGCACAGGCACAGTGCACTGACGTCAAGCTGAGACAGCCACTCATGATGAGGGAATGCCTGCCGGAGCATGTGTGCAGAGCTGGGAATGAGTCACACACTGCCTGAACCGCCGAGGGCGTGAGTGCCGTGCATTGGCTTATGTTCAGAGTCCTTAGCCCATCCTCCTGATTGCCCCCTTTCACTGATCCCCATGTCCTGTGCCTCACTTTGCTGTGAGCCAAGCAATACATTGACCTGTCCGTGATGTTTTGGCAGTAGTACAGCCCCAAAGACCACAGATGAGGGCATCCGTTTGCCAATGCTATCACGCTATCATCTGCAATAATTCACATTTTCAACATCAACAAAGTCAGACCATTGAAGCTTAATAATGCAGCGCTGCCCAAGCAGTGCCACTTTACCTGTTATACAGATGCAACCGCACAAGTCCAGTGTTCTAAGATCAGGGCACCCTTGGGCTAGACTCATCACCCCATCATCACCCACATTTTCGCACCATCCTAGGTTCAAAGACTGCAACTCATTGCAGTACCGTCCGATCGCCTGCATTTTGTTTACGGTATTAATTGGGTTACAACTTGTTTTCTTCAATGGTGATCAAAACCAACGAGTATCAGTATCACGAATATAGTACCTGCAGTGCAGCGTCGGATGCAGCTTTCACGCATCCACAGAGATTTAAGACCCTCAATTTTTTGCAGCAGCTGGCCAGGTAAGCCAGAGCAGTGTCGCTGAATGCTGAGCACCCACTGACATTCAGTTTTGTGAGATCAGGACAACCGTGGGCTAAGGCATACAGTGAACGATCGGTCAGCTTGAAACTTTTGCTCAGGTCCAGGATCTGCAGATCATGACAGGAGTTTGCAATGGCGTCAACAGCGGTGTCCTCCAGCTGGGGCTTCGCTTGACGAAGGATTAAAGTTTGCAATTTTGAGAATTTAGGGGCAAGAAATAGGACCAAATTATTCATATTCTTGCTGCACCTGATGACATAATTGTGCAACTTCGTTATTGCCACGCAAGACATTTTATGAACTGGAATAGTCAAGGCACAAAGCAAACACCAATTTTCTTTGAAGAATTTCAAAATTTGCGCATCATTACAAACACTTCAGGCAGATTTCTAGGGACTTGGGAGTGACAACATTCGATCAAAAAGAAGAGCCAATGCCATTTACACCCAAACAGGTCACTTTCAGTGAAGGTTTTCCAGAAACTAAAAATATTTAATAAAATGTCGGCGTGCAATTAGAGTTTTGCAGAGTGGCCAGTCCGGAAAATTAATTCTTTAGAAAAGCGCCAAGAGATATGTAGACGCCTCGAGGTCAGATAGCTCTCTGGGACATATGCTTCTAGGTTCAGATCCAACCTAGCTACAAGAACACCTCAGAAAAAAATCCCAGCCCATTCTTAAACGGTTGAAGATAGGCCAGTTCTTACCAACATGCCTTTCGTACTTTGCAACAAAGCAATTCGGAAAGACTAATCAATTATCAAAGTTGACAACAGAAATCAGGAAAAAAGTTGACCATATAATATCATTTAAGCAGAGCGACATGAAGGGAAAAAGAATACATAGCCGTAAGAGAGCAACCTATAGAAGGGAAAAAGGAGTACCATGAGAGTGATAAACGGGTGAGGCCAAAGCAAATAGCTTCTCTCCACCCTCGACAGACACCAGAAGCGGCGATCACAGTCCGATCATCCACGGGGCCCAATATTTGCATCAAAAGTTCCACCGGAATATCTTTCCATTCTGAATTCGGCCCGCCCTCCATTTTCACTCCGTTACCACCTTGTCCGCCGCCAGCAATCATCACGAGCTTCTCAAAGCACGAGTTCAAGCCCTCGGTCCTCAAGGTCTCCTTCCCCACCATTTCACTCCCAGTCTGAACCACGCCGTCCTCCAATCGCCTCATTTCCTTGTTTCTATAACCACACACACAACATTAGAAATGTCATCATTCAGAAAAGAGAAAGGGGATAAGAAGCAGGCGATTTCCAAGACTTTTATTTTTTTTTTTTTTTTCCAGAAAACTGCGCGTAGTAGACGACAAAATACAACAGAACAGGACAACCACGCCAAGAGGCAAGGCCACGGGCAATGAGCAGTTTCAATTAGAAGAAAGCAAATATAAACTATAAGAAGGAAGGAGGAGGAGGCGCAGCGAGGAGAGAGGAAGGCAGAACGCGCAGTGCCACGTGTTAGCGACGGAAGAGTGACAACGTGACAAGTAAAATAGTTGTAGGTCCCAGGGAAAACAGTGGCGTCTGATGAAGAACAGAGAGGGAGGGAGAAGCCAGTAGGGAGGTTCCAGATGTATGAAATCGAAACCGCACCTGGGAGAAGTGAGGAGTGAGAAGGGCTGGATGGTGAGGAGGCTTCAGATGTTTACCAATTACGAAGTGCCCCCTTACAAATCACACATTCTTGTTTATTCAGAGCGAACCGTATCAAAGTCAGATTTGAGTTTGTACAGTGGATGATTTTCCTCTCATAAACCACCTGTGAAGGTGACAGCACGAATTGATCAAGAGAGCTATTTTATCTCACGTTGAAGAGATTTGGAAAAGTCTTTGACTATTATTAAACATCCCAATAAATTGACTTTTTAGTGAGAAAATAATGGTTAACGCGTAGCTTGATTGAGCTAACATCCAGGGCTCCGATTATCGTTCATCAGCCGCATCAAAACCCCATAATGACTTATCGTTTTCCATATGAATTCCCATGTCTTTCCTTCCACCCCCCTCCTCAGGACGCATTATGCCCTGCCTGCGGTTTTATGTGATGGATGCTTGTGTTTCCAAATTTATTAATTTAATCGTGGGTTGCTTTCAACAATTTCGATCGCATCAAGAATGAATGGGAAAGAAAACATATATCCCTAATTATAGGCAGGGCTGGAACTAGCCTCGTCGCAGATCGCACTCACGCCGTCTCAAGTCACTGTGGGATTAAAAGATATATAAAAAGATTACAAGATAAACACACAGCCTCAATCAAAGATGACAGCTTTATTGTTTGCGTGTAGCGTCTTCTTTCTTGTTTTTTTTTTTTTCACCAAACCATACGCATTACGGCCACATCAACATCAACTCGTACAGGATAGACAAAAAATGATCGTCAACTATAACATCTCATATTAAAATCCATGCAAACTTTTTAGAGACACAAGGAGTTGGAGTTGCAGTTGCAGCTGCAGTGAGAGAGAGAGAGAGAGAGAGAGAGAGATTGAGTATGTAGAATTGTAGATAGCATGGTCAGGGGTACAAAGACGCAATTTGGGGCGGATTCATTTGGGTTTATATTGTTTCGTCTCTGCTTTGCACGTCATCCCCTTCAGCTTCGTTCGGGGCGTGGGGACCATTCATCTCACCGTCCAACAAATTGGATTCCCTTTGCCCCCACCTCCCTCTCTCTCTCTCTTTCCTTTTCCCTCAATTAACAATGTTAATTTTTCTTTCTTGTACTAATTATATAGCAAAATTTTAAAACCTTGTTTACTCCTACATATAAAGTTAAGATGTATAGTAACTAATTAAATTTATTTTTAATATCATCCCTCACTGGTGAAGGACAACTTGAAAAGTCAGATTTTTTTAACAAGTTTAAGAATCCTAATTATCTTTACGAATTGTAAAGCTGGTTAATTTTATCCTATAAACTATAATTAAGATAGAAAGAAGTAACTATCTGTCATTGTCTTATCTTCACCGCCTCCTTATCTCATTCTAATTGAATACTTAACCACGAATGATACAATCATTTCACCTTGTTCAATAATTAATGCTCCTTTCAGTTTTTAATACAAAGGTGCAGTATTTGAATTTAAAATACAATGGTTCAATTCAATGCCAATGCCTCGCCATAAAGACTAGCCTTGCCGGTCCTTTCAGTCCTTAATAATAGTCCCTGTTGCACCCAGAAAAATGCGACGCGAACACGCGAGTAGGGATCTCGACTTTTATAGTGGAAATCGTATAAATGAGGATTCGTCATCAAAATTTTAAAAAAAATTTTAAAAAACTAATTAATGAAGGGTAAGGATAGTCTGCAAAAATAAAAAATAGGTTTGAGAGTCGGTTGAATGTGAAAAAGGTATTAGGCACCCCACAACACCCATTCATTAGAACGATTACTTGAAGTTTGTTGTGCTCTATTAATATGTTTTATAATTATTTTAATTATCCCTTTTACATTCATGTGTTTTAAAAAATGATAAGAATTAAGTGAGAAATATTTATTTATTCACGAGGGAGGACTTGACTTAGAATCTAAATCTGAGGCCTATGTACTCTGTGATAGGGATCAAAATTTATGTAGTTCGGACTTAAAAATTGTTGGTAAAAATATTTTTGAGGAGAAATTAATTAGACATAATTCATCATTTTATAAATAAAACAATTTCTGAAATTTTGATATGTGTGTTTTAAATTGCAAGAAGTAATTTAATTTTAATTATTTTCTCAATTTTTAAATTTTTGGAATAAGAAAAGAAAAGTGTTTTAGATTATTCTTCTTTTATGTTTTATGATTGAAAATTTTAACTGCTATACCTGCAGAGTCTTATTGTTTCGTACGGTAATGCAATTATTTTAAGTATCTATGGAAATTCTGAAATCTCACACGATAAAAGAATTTAACAATTTAATTTATTTATTTATATTCTTGTGTATATTTTTAAGTGTTAATAATATATTTTAAACGTGTATATACATTTTTTTGAGAAAAATATTAATCATCATACCTGCAAAGCTTTATTGACTTATATGGTAATATGATTGTCCTAAATATCTACGGAGATTCTGAAATCTCACACGATAAAAGAATTAAATTTATTTAAATACATCATTAATATATAATTAGTTTAGTGTATATATATATATATTTTAAAAAACTTAATCATTATATCTGTAGAGTCTTACTGACTCATATGATAATATGATTATCTTAAAAGTCTACAGAGATTCAAAAATCTCACATGACTAAAAGATATAATTGATAAATATGATTACAATTTAAATACATTAAGTTGATTAATTAAATTTTCTAAATTATGTATTATATCATTAATTACAAAAATTATTTATTTATTATAAAAATTGAGAACCACTATATCTGTGAGGACTTATTATCTCACACGATAAGATGATTAATTTAAGTCTTTATGAAGATTCTTGAAATCTTGCATGAGACTTAAATAAATTATTAATTTGGATTATAAAAGGAGAGTTAATTTTAACGTATAAGTTTTGCTCTCATATCTGCGAAATCTTATTGATTTACACGACACGAGATTATCTTAAATATCTGCAAAGATTCAAAGTCTCATACGATAAAAGGATTAAATAATATTCACTTTGAATATATTTTGATGTGTAATTATATAACACATATTTTTTAATATAGAAATCTTAATCGTTATACCTGCGAAGCCTTATTGACTCACACGATAGTACGATTATCTTAAAGGTTTACGGAGTTTCAAAAATCTCATATGACCAAAAGATATTATTGGTAAATATAATTATAATTTAAATTCATTAATTTAAATTAATTAAAATTACAAAAATGTTTTTTATTTTATTTACAAAATTCATTCATTTATTTATCATATAAATTGTGAATCATAATATCTGTGAGGATTTATTATCCTACATGATAATGTGATTAATTAAGTCTCTACGAAGATTCTTGAAATCTCACATGAGACTTAAATATTTAGTATAAAGAGAGAATTAATTTTAATAATGAGCAATATATACAAATTAATAATCGCAACATTTGCGACCCCAATAGCAAATAACAAGCAAGAAGAAATTATGCAAGGCATGTAAAAGAAGAAATCAGAACATTGAAATATGATAAACATAAATAGTCACAATGGAAATTATGACTATAACAAAATGAAACTCCAAGGCCACAGGTAGCAAAAATTATCATTGCAGTTATAATAATTGTTTCATCACAATCAATGGGACATAAAACAAATTAACAATTGCAGAGATAGCAAATTTGAAAATAATAATTTGTGATCTATAATCATGAAATGCATTATTTGAAAACTTCAAAATAAAATGATACTGAGAAACTATTAATCTGAACCATCATGAATAATCAATCACAGTTCATTAGACCATCAAATCAACACTAAGTCACTTTTAATTTTCATATTCAAATATTAAAGTAAAAGCGAAACAATAACAGGTTAGTCCAAACCTTTACAAATAGCAAAATCTCACTTGAGGAAGAAGCCATAACTAAACACCACTAATGCTCAGTCTAAGCACTCCTATAAACAATACCTTCACAACTTCAAGTGAAAAGCAGATGGTGGTAACGTCAACGAGGTTCTCTTCCCTACAGTGTGAAGCCCTGTATCATGGCTTCCTTTTCACCCCCCATCTTTGTGCTCGTGCATCCCTCATTCTCCCTCTCTTGCTCTCCCTCCAACTTCTCAGTTCTCTTTTAAGCTTCTTCTCTGCGTCCCTGGCCAAAATGTCACTCCTCTCATTTTTAATTTTCTTGTCTCCGAGCTCTTCTCTCAGTCTCACTCTTCTTTTTTTTCTTTCCTCCTCCTTGCTGCGTCTGTTCTTCGTCTAGCTTCCCTCTATCAGTCTCTATTTTCTCATCCAGTTTTTCTCCATTTTCATACTCTCTTTTGAATGCTGTCCATGCTTTGTTTGTTCATTATTTTTCTATCTCCTCTCAAACTCTTTCTCGTCTCCCACTCTTCGTCTCTCTCTTCTCATTTTTCTTTCCTCCGTCTTCCTCTCGGTTTTCTCCTTTGTTTCTCATGCTCTTTTGTTTTCATTTTCTTCATGCTCTCTCGATCTCCTTCTCAAATTTCTCCTCTGTTTCTCATCCAATTTTTGTCTTCTCTCTTTCTCCTCTCCGTCTCTGTTTTGTCTGGTTTTTTTTCTTGTGTTCGTTTCTCTCTTCTCTTCATTGGTCTCGATTCTGCACTATCCTGGACCTCAACTTCCTCAAGCTTTCTTTTGGGACTCTCGGTCCCTCTTCCCTTTTTTTTCTGTTTTTGCTTCGTTGGTCAGTTTTATTCTGTCCCCCTCCATGCTCTGTTTTTTTTTTTTGTTTTCTCCAACGTCCTTCTGCCCTTCTTCTGCATGCATCTATGACTCCTTTCCTTTACGTGTGTGCATGCTATGTTTCTGCTCATTTCTTCTTTGTGTGTGCCTTTGGCATTTTGCTCTTTTATCTGCACGTGGCTGAGCGTTTTTGGT